ATGTCAAAAACCTGCCAACCCTGGTTTCTCTACAGTAGAAACACACATACAACTAAACAACCTCGTTCTTCTACCTTGTGTACTTACTTCATTTTTTTTTAGAAAAAATTTAAAAAAAGTATCAGCAAAATTGCTGCCAATGTATCTGTGCACGGTGTGCGTCTATATTATTGAACTATGTTGTTACAAACTAACCAATTTTTACTAATAAACTAGAAAATAATATTTTGAAGGTTACTCCATGAATAATTTTTCCCCTGAATAACAAGTAAAACTAATTTTAAGATGAGTGAAAATTTTGAGTTTCTATAACCTTCTTTCATGTGCCGAGAAGATATCTGTAACGTGATCTGCGTCAGAATAATTGCTAGGTCTTGGCCTGCCAGAAACGAAACAAAAAATCACAGAAAGGTTTTAACTCATAGCCACCACCGTGCAAATCTCTACATATTTTTTTAATAAACATTTTCAGATTTGGAATTTATTTGGCGCTTTGGCAATTGTAGTGGCAGATCAAGATACAGAAATATCCCTATAAATTTGAGCTATAATTTTAATTTGCACTTATAAGAATATTTTATAAGAATTAATTACATTAAATATTTTCATTAACTGTATCAATAAAACAGTTACACATGCAATTCATATTAGGGTGACTTGGGATAATTCCTGATCAAAAAATGCAAACTTCTATTTTGTGAAAAAAACTACTCAAGATAGAATTTCAATATTTACTGGAAGTTTGATGCTATATGAGATGAGTCATATGCTACCTTCTTTTGTTTGAAAATCTAATTAGAATTTAAAAGATTTTAAATTTTTAGTGATCAGGAATTACCCCTTCTCTTGATCAATTCTGGGGTAATTACTGATCACCAGTTTTAATAGTAAATGGGCTGTTTAAAAATAATTATACAATGGTAATTAACAAATAAGACATTAAGATCAAACAAATAAACCAAAAAGATATGTTTAAGCAGCCAGTAAAACTTTTTATTTAAAATCAGGAATAAAGATTAACACTTCAGCTCTGGCAGCAGCTCTCACACTGAAATTTTCATTTTCATGCATTAAAAGAAATTCGCTATTTTTGCTTTCTAGAAGCTTCGTATCCTTCTTAAGATTATAATTTCTCACCATATTTATATTAGATTAATATATCAACTTAAAAATTATTCTAACATGTACACACATAAAATTAAGATAGAAGCAAGGTAACACAAGCTAGAAATGGTGCATATCAGAACACATTTTTATTGCATACAGTTAAAAGCAAATTTAGTGATCATAATTAAAATATATTTTATAGTTGTTCCACTTAATAAATATGAACTGTTATTTAAGAAAAGACAATTGAATATTTATTAGCTATTTTTTATACTATTTATAAGAAAAGACAATGATCAGAAATTACCCAAGTGATCAATAATTACCCTATCTGTAGGGGGCAATATTTGATAGTTTCCTATAATCAATTATAATGTTTACAGTAGATGTGAAATAATTAAGCAAAAGCCTACACTATTTTTATACCAAAGAAAAGAAAGTAACTCACAATATTTATTATTAAGAGAAGGAGGGGGATCTTTGCAGAAATGTGCACATTTTGAAACCCATCTTTAATATGGAAAATACAGAAAGCATTTTAAAAGATACTTATTTCGTTAGATTAAACAAAAAAACTGTTATTAAGTAAATGTAGCTATACTTTAGTAAAGTGTACAAGCATTCTTGTTCATGTCTCAAATTTAAAAATTTTTTTTTTAAAATAAAACATAGGTGATCATTTTTAACCCCAGAAACAGAGTGATTCTGAATTACTCCGAGTCACCCTACTTTTTACCAGAGCTCATTCTAGGCAGGGTAAACAGGGTGCATCACCCTGCTGCCCTTTTAGTCAAAAGAATCCACCCTGTTGCCCCTGAAGTAAATTAGTGCCCTGATGTAATAGACTCCATACCCTTTTTGCTCTTTCTTTCCTCAGCCCTTCTACATCCCCCCCCAAACTCTACAATGAATTTCTTAAACTTTGTTGCGCTTGTCCTTGAAAGTTTGCAGTTACTTCCACTATCATTAAATTATTATTAATCATTTTAATTATTATATCATAACTACAGATACTTAAAAACATACATTTTTATTTTATTAATATAGGCATGCATTTTAAATAAATTACTAAGCTAATTAGCTTATTTACTCGATATATATGTTAATTTATTAATAAAATTTAATAATTAATGATTGCTTTGCTACTTTAAGTAAAGTAAAAAAAAATTCTTTTACTAATTGACAATGTTTATTAATAGAACGCGTAGTCCATAGATGGAAATTATTGCCTTTTTAGAATAATAATACCCTTTTTCTAAACTTTTGCACCCTGCCCTTTTTTTTTTGTGTGCCTAGAATGAGCTCTGCTTTTCACAAATACAATCTAAATATTCCCACACATTTCAATGATTACTATTTGATGTTAATGTCCGCAGCATTGCACTTTTCAGTTTTTTTATTTTATTGCCCACTATTAAATAATGCAACTCATCCCTGATTAGTGGCAAATAGATGAATATAAATACATAACTGTTTCTGAAACACAGTGATAAAATTTATTATAAAATGTAGGAAGAAAAGAACCTTTACCTTCGGGAATATTTGTGCCAGGATAAAGAAGTTTGTGGCAATCAATAGCAAAATCAATCATCTTAGTGTTACGAACAATATCTAGCTTTGCAAGCAGCATATCTCTTTCATCATAGATCTAATTGGTAAGAAAATTAAATTAAACTTTAAAATTAAATTACATGTTAACAATAAATTGATTCTTAAAAGTTTAATTTTATTGATACAAACACATTTCATTTTACTTAAATGTAACTTTACACAAGACTCTTGACTTATATTATCAGCAAATAAACTGCCTGCCACATTTCAGATTTTCAAATTCATGACTAATTCCAAGAATTTTTCATGACTTAACGAAGTTACTATTTTCTCCAACAAAAACTCAACAATAAATTTAAAAAAGCATTATAATAACATTCATTGAAATAATAGGTATAACCAAAACTGTTGTGCTCTGCATCTTCATATTTATAGATTTTGAATTTAAAAAACAGAGAAAGGGAAGAGTTGAAGCAATAAAATAGCTGAAAAAATACAAAAGCAAATAATTTCTTCTTCTTTTTTTCTGCAGAATTACATACTAATGATACTTTACTTGTTCATCGGAAAGAAAAGAAATACTCCTGAATTTTCTGTTCTCATTTTGGAATAAAAAAATTTGCCATTGATTGGCTTTTAAAGAACATGATATATCTTAATCAAATACGTCTGTGAGTGGGGATTTTGTTACAAATTCAGATATTCTGAACACTATGAAATTGGGGGTAGGGGTAGATACCATTTTAAAAATTAGATTTTTCTACGACCTAAATTCATGACTTATCATGATTTTTATAAAAAAATAGTTAAAATCATGACTTTCCAGGTGCGTGGATACCTTGTAAACAAATGTTTAACTAATGAACCTTAACTCATAAAATTCATTACAAAATGTGAGAAAATGTAAAACTCATATCTTAGAGACCTATATATTATTTAAACATCTTGTTATTGATGAATACATAACTGCAAATTTGTATACAGTAATTGAAAAAATTAACATTTATGTATAAATTTTGATTTCAAAAAAATTTCTTTACTCAAAATAATCACACTATATACATATTTAAAATAGACCTATTAGTTTAGGAGTCAAAGTTTATTATTTGCAAAATAGCTTTATTTCACTATAAAAAAAAATTTGCTCGATTTGGTCAATATTTTAAAACTTTTCATAACTACTCTACATATTGACAGAAATACTGAACTCTTTTCATACATGAAGATGCTTAAGTTGTTGACACTACAATTATAATTGATTTATATCAGGTATGAATCTAGTTATGTTTCTAAAGAAATTTGTTCCATTAAAACCAAAATTTGCAGAACTCTGAATTTCTAGAGGTGACATCGATTCAGAAGGTATACATACGTTAAAACAAAAAATCATATCTCGAGTACACAGAAATATAACTTTTCTCACTATAATAATAAAAGAATTTCAGAGCGGGAAAACTATATAAATTCAAAAAATTAATTTTAATGAAACTCTTAAGAGTTAACCATAACACGAAGTTGTTTGAAAACATTTGTTGGAATACTAACGATTTGTATACACATACCTCTTTAACAGACATAAATTCTAACAGAGGAAATACTAAATGTCGGTCTAAATACTGCGCAATTTTTGGCGTTAAATCCCATTTCGCCATGATTAAAATCTTTTTAATTATTCTACTAAATTTGATACTTTATTCACGTGGACAATTCACCACAAAATCACCACCGCCATATATTCGGCTGTTGTAATCATTAATTGCAATGTGATTCCGGCTGTTTATTTCTACCCGTCTTTCAGATTCATGCACTGAGCCCGCTTTGGCCTAGAGACAATCACAAGGCGATCTCCCCGACAATCAAGGAAGCGTTAAGGTCACAACGCTCGGCGATCGCAACGCTCGAACACGCCATCTGGGGAGAAGACTGGTTCCATGCTTTTGGCCCTTCCCCCTTTCTTCTCCTCCTCTTCTCAGTTGTATAGGAATGTACAGTCTGCAAAAAAAAAAAAAAAGAAAAGAAAAAAAAATATCACCCGGAATAACTTTCGTTCTAATGATCGGATTTTCACGTACTAAGTGTAAATCTTAATGATTCCTGGGGGTGACCTCAAATATGAAAATTATTTAGTGCTAACTATTAATTAAGTTACGAAATTGGACACAAAAACGCATATTTTCTTAATAAACATATATTATTTTCAACATATTTGTATTCTTAACCTTCAAAATATCAGGGGTAGCCGCAATCTGGGAAATATGATCCCCATAGTTTGGTCAGGAGAGAAATCCAAAGTTCGGACCCTTTAATGTCATATTTTCGCATTTGCCCCTTCAGTCATATTTTTCACATTTTGCGTTTTCAGTCATATTTTTGAAACTAATTAAGCAATTAAAAAAAAAGCAATTACTTATTAGACCCATTTACCCAAAGATAATATATATATATATATAT